TCTTGCCTTGAGATCATGTACAAATACTTAGGTCATGTTATGAATGAAAACTTCTCCTCTTGAAGTCCTCCATCAATCAAAATATTATTACTTCTAATCCTACCCACCGTGATGAGAACTTTTAGCGATCGGCTTATTCCTCCTCCGAAATTGGGCTAGGTGTTCCACTCTTCTACATATTGAGAATGAGTATATGTGCTTGCCCGTAACCAGGAAGCTTTGGACCACAACAAAACAATATGATCCTATCTTTGTTTTGATGTTCACATATGATCATAAATATAATGAGAATCTACTCCATGCTTTTTTTGAGAATTGGTGTCATCCACCAACATAGTTTCTGCTTTCATTGGAGAGTTATCCCTATATATATATATATATGAGATTTGAGAACCATTAGAGGCCTTCCTATTCATGAGACTTTTTATGATGAAGTTTCTCTCTCGAATAAGAATTGTCCCATGTAGACGACCAAGAAAATCCTTTCCTCTTCAGAAATTGTTCATACTTGCTTTCCGATTTCTAGCGGTTACAAAATGTGTCATCAATCAATGGTATATAAATTTGTTCTTACAAACAAGAAGGTTGATTGTACTTGTACTAGCATCTTCAAAATTGCAATCTTAATAGCTCATGATGAAAAAATAATTTTCAGTTTCGATCGTGTAAGCATCTATGGCAGTCTTAGAGAGATCTTCACCTCTCCAAACATCGTTCCTGCTAGTAGCTCCTTACCTTCATTATGCATACGGATGGATTGGTGAGTATTTTAAAACCTATTATAGTGTGAACTATCTATAACAGGGAATGTAATTGTGGGAGATTTCTAAAGAAAAGATGACAAAATATTTTAATTTGGTTTCCACTCGCAAGTTATTTCAACAAGTGAATGTACAAAACCTTCATCATTTGGCCCTAATACAAAAGAAAGAGCTACATATGATGAATAAGGAAAATTAATGTGATTTCTTCATAACCATCCGTTTAAATTTCATCACTTTATGGCATGATGATGATCTGATTGTGCAACTTTTTAGTCTTCATTGGTTTACTCGAAAATTTGAGTTTTATTAAGAAGTTTCTGGTATTCTAATAGAGCATCATTATAGTGATGCATGTCTAGATTTGGTGTGGCTTTGTGTCACGGCCTAGACCATCGTGATTGATACCCACACTAACTCTCTGGTGGGAGAATCATTAATACTAATCAGCTAACCCAAGAACTAAACATTTAAAGATACAGAAGTAGGTTTAAATGCAGAAATCAAATAGAGTTTCCATAAAATCCAAATGTTTAAATAAAATAAATCAAACTAATGTGGAAGATCAACTCTAAAAACTAAAAGTCAATGTATAAAAACTTCAAAGTTCAACAATTCTAAGCAAAGGGGGTGCATCCCCAAAACTAAACAAATTAATATCTAACTAGGATGTCTAAGTTTGAAAAGAGTGGATTAAAGCATAGAGAACTCATGGGACCCTGAAAGAGTTAACTCACCCTTGAATTTGATCACGATCAGTGATCTCCTAAATTAGGTTTGTCAGTAACCGCTTAAAGATGCCCCATACTCAATAAAGACAGAGCAAGTGCAGTATCATTACGCAACCACAGTGTACTGGTAGGATCACGCGGTTATTTCAATAAGTAAAATATATACAAGAAGTCACAACAAAGTGAACGTACATATACCAAACATATAAAATATCAATTATCATATTAGGAGAGATGTACCATTCCACGTTCTCAATTATAAATATATATATATATATATATATATATATATATATATATATATATATATATATATATATATATATATATATATACGTAACATTATATCCAATTAATGTTGAAATGTAACATCTGATCCATTCAACAAGCCACAATCACAATAACAATGTACATTCTCATAATCATCCAATCAAGTGTTGATCTATGACATACAATCATTCATTCATACTCATTTGCATTAGGAATGATAAATAGTGCAACATTCACATACATACATCCATTACAATGAAGCAATTGCTAGCATGCATCACACAAACAAGAAATCAAACCATCACTTACCTCAAAACCAAGATGGAATCCCTCTAAGGCACTTGAATATTTTCTTTTCGAATTTTTTCCCTTGCTCTAGGTCTACAAACAATTTATATACCCAAGGATGAACAATCAAAATGTCTAATTATACAGACTATAACAAAACCAATATTTCAAGACCAAACTCATGATCCTAAGGTGAAACTAGGGCTTTTACCACCATTCAATTCAGTTCAAAAACCCTTGCCCAATTATTAATAACCAAGAATGTAAGTTCTACGGATAGAAAAAATGGATTAGGTGAGTAAAAGCCTTACCTTTTGCATCAAAAGTAGTGGAAAACTGTCAAGAAATCACCTGGGGTCGTCTCCTAGCTCTTAAGAATGAATATTTCACAATAATGATGTTTTGGGGGTCTATTTACGACTTAAGTCACAACTGTCCCGCTATGGCGGCCTCCATCCCACCATAGCGGCCCTACCCTAGAGAGATAATTCTCGCCCCGGTGGTTTGTACGGGAATAGAGAGTCGAATGTTGAGTTTCAAACCTCCATTTTACAACACACCTTCAATCCATGACACACGAAAACTACATGTTCATTCTAAGATTAGTTTCGACAGTTTTACTCGCCCAAATTAGATTCCGTAAAGTGGTATGGTTTTATTAATGACTTAGTTATCTACTCGTGTGATCAAATTATTAAATAGATCTCTCATTCATTACCTGATTTTCCTAGACCTCACTGCCTTGGATTTCGTCTGGAATAGGTTATGAATTCTCAAGTTACTACCAAAAAGTTTTCCTGCCCAAAATTTTTCGTTGTTGGATTTTTCTATAACGACGAGAGTAGGTTGTTACACTTTGAGATTCTTGTAATAGTCTTGGAAGCTTATCAAAGCTCATATTATTAATTTTTCCATCAAACGAGGGGCCTCTAATAACCTGTGAGTATTCAGACAAATTCTAGCTCATTGGACAAAAGCATTTGAAGAAAGAGCCTAAGGATTTGAACGATCAACACGAGTTTATTGATTTAAATTTAATTAATATTGATATTGTAATCTTTGAAAATGGTGTTGTTGGTTCTACAATTTCCTAAACTGAATTAGCACATCAGTAAAAGTTATTTCCTCAATATTTCACTAAACAATCCTATACGTCTCAACTATTAATGTTGAGGTTGGAGTAAATCAAATTGGATGTTCAAATGTTTTTAAGGACTTGGTTTTCCCTTTTCAACGAATTTCTTCAAATATTGTACAACATGACAAGAATATTTCAAGCTTCAAATTATCTTACGATTTTGGAATGTGGCATATGTTGTGTGAATGTATTACACAATTCTCTTCCAAGTCCTTGAAAAGCTTAAAAGATTGTTGGAGACCTGTTGTCTTGATCGATTCTTAAGGACTTAGAAAAGTTAACATTGTTGATGTTTATCCTTTAAGAAATATAGAGATGACAATGTTGTAGGGTTTATTTCTCGAAAGATAACTAGAAATTCTCATCAAGAGTTACTTTTGTTGGGTTTTGAAGAATCAGAGCAACATGCAGAAGCTTATAATTGCAAATCATGTCGGTGATGAATCCAAAAACATATATTATTAATAAGGTTTTACTAAGCAACATACATATTAAAAAACTAATAATGAAAAAACATATGAGTAAATCTCCCCTTCAACAAAACTCTCTAAATTAAATGTCTACATTGTGTATGCTCTTCTATTAATGGTACGAGAAGAGTTCCACATTTTTCTTCTAAAGAAAGAAAAATTAAATATGAAAGAGAGTTATATTTTTCATTCATGAAATGTAAAACCAATTTTGGCTTTCCTCACAAGGAAAATTAAAACTCATATATGATAAGAAAATCAGAATAAAATCCTAACAACTTTTGCTACATAACAATGCCTTCATACCGCGAAGGAGGAGAAAATAAAGATGGACAAACATTTGGGAATATACAAACGAGACTATTGAAAAATCAAGAGGAGGATGTTTAGACAAGTTGCCACCTAATTCTTAGCCATAATTGTTTTCCTTAATATTTTGCTCTTCATAAGAATGGTTCTTTTCCTTTTCCTTTTGTTTTCGATTTATTATGTAAAGATTCTTTTTTCAAAATTCACTTGAATTCTACCTCGCTCAATTTTTTCACGATTTAGCATGTACAACAGAAAATCAATCACTTAGTGTAGGAGCATCGGAATGATCAATTTATTGTTCTTTTGGAAATATAACTTATAGAAATACAACATATATAAAAATCATGACCAAAATATATTTGTATTGGTACACCTATTTTTTAAAAGTTAGCTTATATTCTGTCTCGCTCAACTTTTCAGCTTTAAGTATGTGTGATAGAAAATCAATAACACGGGGTAGGATTATCAGAATGAAAATATTGTTGTTCCATTGGAAATATAACTCATCAAATTACAATATGTGAAGAAATAATGGCCAACATATATTATAGATAAGAGTAATTATGTTAATAGTTAGTTAATTGTGTCAGAGTTAGTTAGAAGCAGCACATGTCATATGTGAGCTTATGCGATCACATTTGAATAAAGCCAGATACATGGCCACATTCAACCTATAATAAAAATTATTCTTCTTCCTAAACTCTCTCATTCAAAGTTAGCATATTCAGAGAGGAATCTACATTCTATCATGGTATCATAGCAACGATCACTGTTCAAGATTGTCTTTCCGCAGAGAGTGCTCCTCTTAGCAAGTACTAGGATCCGTCAATGGAAAAATTAACAGTTGCCACCTTTGAGCATCATCATCCTTTGTATCTGCAGTCCTCAGACACACCTGCTATTTCTTTACATATGGTCAAACTCACAAGACCAGAAAATTATGGCTTGTGGAGTCGATCGATAAGGATAGCCCTATTGGTGAAAAATAAAATTGGTTTCGTTGATGGAACTTGTTTGAAGTCCACATACAATGGAGATCTGGATACACAATGAGAAAGATGTAACACTGTGGTTTTTTCATGGATCAGTAGCACAGTAGCTCCTAATTTGCTGCCTACAATTATATATGCTTTAAATGCTAGGAGAGTCTGGGAGGATTTCAAAGAGAGATTTGATAAATCAAATCTCACAAGAGTTTATCAACTGTGGGCAGAAGTTGAAAGCCTGAAGCAAGGTACAGACTCTGTCACTGATTATTACTCTACGATGAGAGATCTCTGGGATGAATTGGATATGAGAATATCTTCTCCTTGCTATGAATGTGTTGAGGCTAAGTCATATATAAGTCATCTTCATCAGAAAAGGTTGTTAATGTTCTTAATGGCATTAAATGAAGCATTCACTCATGTGAGGAGTGATATTCTTATGAAAACAGAAACACCTATTGTAAATCAAGCCTATTCCACTGTAGTGCAAGAGGAGAGTCAACATGTACTAGGTGTTGTAGAATCCAACAAAGAACCTCTCACATTGTTAGCTGGAAGAGGGCAGCATCACAAAGGAAAGAAACCACTATTGGCGACTACATGTGAAATATGTGGATTTAAAAATCATCTCACTGCTGATTGTTATAGGTTGGTTGGATATCCACCTGATTTCAAGAGCAAGATAAAACCAGCGCAATCAGGTTCATATCAAATTGGAACACCAGGTCCTTATCAAACTGGAATGGGCAATTCCAGATCTACACAACAAGGTTCTTATCAGTCTTGTATGGGTAGTTCTAATGAACTTCAGACCTGATGCTAATAATGCAGCAGCTGACATACCAATTCAGGATGACACTAAGCTCAGCAATGAGGATCTTGATCAATTCAGGAATCTAGTGCATAACAAAGAGCGTCAAGAATGCCAAGCCAACCTAATAGGTAATGTGTCACTTCTCCTAAAAGCCTCTGTATTTGAATGGATTATTAACTCAGGGGCAACATACTATGTCACCTCATGTAAAAACATGTTACATGATTTAAGATCATTCGGACCTTTCAATTCTTCATAGATGTAGATCTCGGGCCTATGAATGGGGATATTTCCAAAACTCACACAGAAAAAAGGATTAGAGGGATCCAACATAGTACAATTATCTACAGGAAAAAGAGCAGAAATAATAAACACTGGAAGCTCAACAATTTTAGAAGATATGAACTTGACAAATGTTCTATTTGTGCCAGAATTCAAGTTCAATTTACTCTAAGTTACAAGACTAAGGAACTGTCTTGCAACATTAGTTTCTTCTGTAAATTCTATACATTGCAGGATCTTTAATATGGAAAGTTGATTGGGATTGGTAAAGAACTCAATGGTTAATATATGTTAAAAGATGAAGTACCTGCAGTAGTTGGTGCAACAATAAAAGCTTATTATCACACTAATTTGTGGCACATCAGACTTGGATACCCTGCACTCAAGGCTATGCAACACATTTTATCCCTCAAGGATCATATAGATGTTAGGAGACATAATAGTTTTCAAACTTGTTCCTTAGCTAAGAAACGTAGAACATTTTTTCCTGAAATTCATAGTAGTTCAACTAAGTGTTTTCAGCTTATGCATGTATATGTCTGGGGACCTTACAGAACCCCCACCTATGACAAAAAACAATATTTTGTTACGATGTTAATGATTTCAGTAGATTTACTTGGATTAGTCTCATACAATGTAAAACTGATGTTTATATCATTTTGAAGGATTTCTTGATAATGGTTAATATACAGTTTGGTGTCAAAGTACAGACTCTTAGATCAGATAATGGTACAGAGTCTTTTAATATCATATGTAGTAATCTCTTGTCGTCTCTTGGTTTTGTGCACCAAAGTTCATGTGCTTACACCCCACAACAAAATGGGGTAGTAGAAAGGAAGCACAAACACATAATGAATATTGCAAGGGCTTTGAGATTTCATAGTGGAATGCCTATTAAGTATTGGGGACATTGTGTTAAAACAACTTTTTATTTGATAAGCAAAATTCCTACTAGAGTGTTGTTGAAAGCGAAGTCCCTACATGAGATGTTATATGGAAAAGAACCTGCTCTGAATCATTTAAGGGCATTTGATGCTTGTGTTTTGCTCAATTCTACCTCGAATGGATAAATTTGCTCCTAGAGCCAAGAAGGCATCCCTAATAGGGTATTCAAAAACTCATAAATGATATAGAGATCTCAAAAGTCATCAAGTGTTTATCATCAGAGATGTGACATTCATGGAGCATATTTTTCCTTTCAAAGACAACATCGGTGTTTTATTATACTCTGCACTTGCCTATCTAACATGATCAAAATATTGTAAGTACAACTCAAGCTGAGGTCTGTCCTGCCATGCCTGGTAATCCCATTATTCTAGACCTTGATGAAGCTACTGAGTCATCATATATAGAGAGAGATGGTCCAGTTGATCAAATTCCTGATACAACTACTACCCAAATAGAGTCTTATATTGAGGAAAGTCTTACTATAGGAGTTGGAGATATTTACATTGAAGCACCAGTTGAAGATACTAGAACAACTGGTAGAGTACCAACACCACCATGATGGGATATGTATTATATAATGCCTCACAAAATCAACTTTAGTTGTCTATATCCTATTGCAGATTAGCTGTCCTATTCTAACATGAGTGATACATATCAGTCCTATGTAGCAGCTTTTTCAGTGGTTGTGGAACCTTCAACATTTTAGGAAGCATCTGCTTCTCAACACTGGATTGATGCCATGCATGCTGAGGTTAGTGCTTTGTAGCAAAATAAAACATGAATCTTAGTTGACTTACCAGATGGAAAGCAGGACATTGGATCAAAATGGGTTTTCAAAATCAAACACAAAGCTAATGGTGACATTGAGAGATACAAAGAAAGACTAGTTGCAAAAGGTCTTAATGAAAAAGAAGGTCTGGATTATCATGAAACCTTCTCTCCAGTAGCCAAAATATTCACTATGAGAACAGTAATTGGTGTTGCAGCATCTCACAACTGGCCATTGTTTCAAATAGATGTACACAATGCTTTTCTACAAGGAGATTTATCAGAGGAAGTTTACATGCAATTGCCTTAGGGTTTCCAAAGGAAGGGGGAGGACAAAGTATGTAAACTACTGAAATCCTTATATGGACTTAAACAGGCCTTAAGACAATGGAACCTCAAGCTGACTGAGGCCCTTGTTGGAGCAGGATATGTACAGAGTCCCTATGATCATTCTCTATTCACTAAGAAGGAGGGGACTGAGGTAGCTGTTGTCCTAATCTATGTTGATTATCTACTGATTAAAGGTAATTGAAGCAAGCTAATTCAAGACACAAAAGAAGAATTACACAACAAATTCAACATGAAAGACCTTGGAGATCTCAAGTATTTTCTAGGGATTGAAGTATCGAGGTCGAAGATAGGCATTCTTCTCAACCAGAGAAAATATGCTTTGGAATTTATATCTGAATCAGGTTTAAATCCAGCTGCTACACCTTCGGAGCCAAACAAGAAATTTACCACTGTTGAGTATGATGAACTCCTTGGAAACATATATGATGTTATATGCAAAGATGTTACAGCCTATCAAAGACTCATTGGGAGGTTGTTATATTTTACTACAACAAGGCCTGACATAAGCTTTGCAGTACAACTCTTGTCTCAATTTATGTTGAAGCCCAAAGTTTCTCACTGGGAAACAGGTCTAAGGTTGGTAAGATATATCAAGGGTTGTCCAGGACAAGGGATATTGCTATGCAGCACTCCCAGCACATAGCTGAAAGTTTTTTGTGACTCAGACTAGCATCATGTCCCAACATAAGACTGGTCAACGGACCAGAACCGAGTCACCTGACCGGAATGAACCGGTACCGGACCGGACCGGAATCCGTTGATCGGAATTTTGACCGGTACCGCGATGAACCGGACCGGAATTACCGGGATGATTCATCGGTTCCATCCCGTTCCACTATATACCGGGACGGAACCGGAATGAACCGGAACGGACCGGGATGGAACGGGACAGGATTAACGAGACGATATTTTTTGAATTACAAAAATATAATTTTTTTATTTTAAGTATAAATTAATAGTTTTTAAATTCATA